CGTTGCGAGGACCAACAACCTGTTCGAGCGTTTCAATAGAGAGCTAGACAGTAGGTTTCCTACTCCGCACCCTTCGATGGTCACATTTGTGACCGTCATCAAGACGATAGCAGCCGAGTACGCTCACCGAATGGGCGACGTGCCCCACGCCCGTGCCCGCAGAGTTCCTCGCGAGCGGATCCAGCTCCCGGAGCTCATCAATATTCCTTCCGACATCGACAGCGTCGTGGACGAAGCTACGGCGCTTGCTCTGCGCACCTCGGATTCAGCTCCAGTCTTCACTTAGATCGTACCAGGTATATAGTAACACAACCCTCCAAAGCACTTAACTTCTTCCCTACGTTGTTCAGAATCCACGTTGGCCACGCAAGGTAGCTACTAGCACAATGCATTCATCCAATGCATTCAGCTTCTTCCTACACAAATCATTCCTTCCAATGACAAAGTGATCAGTTCACACTTCAGACCTACGTGCCTGATCGTCAACCTGATCAGAACCGTATACGATCCAAAATTATTTTTTTACCGGTATGTCGCCCCTTACTAAGGGTAAGCGTATTGGTTTGTGACCCAAAGTGTGGACAGAAAGACTAAAGAAAGGCATATGGTAATTTCGTTGCGGCGGCACCTCTCGAGGCAGGTCGTCATGCTATCTCAATGCTGTACATACAGTACAACGACGGTGAAATCTGCCATACGTTTGAAACACGCCCGGCCCAAACATGGTTTCCCCACTAAGGAAATAGTTTCAACCAATCCGTGTCCCGTATTCGGTCGTTTCTGTACATTCAAATCAGTATCTGTTGATTCTTGTATCGTTTTTGTACCTTTGGGTATCGTTTTTGTAATTTGCGCTCAGACTTTCAGCTGAAATTACCACTTTCAACCAATCAAATTAATCGGCGGGTATTCCTGTCGCGCGTAATACTTTTATTTTATATGAAGGATAGTGTTCAGACACCGGGCGGATTTCACCGTCGTTGTCTGTACGCTGAAAAGGACAGTAGTCAATTAAGATCTGCAGCGGTGACAAGGTGAAAGATCTGCTTCAGTCAGACTGCAGCGGCCCGTCCAAACGGAAACCGGTGGACAGACCTCTAATGCTCCGAAGACTATTGGTAGCAGAAACTTTCCCAGAAGCAACGGTGCTCCACGTGCGCCCGCATTCAAGACGCAGCTGGTTTATTGTCTGTGGGCCAGAAATCGCCGATGGTCATGAGCTCGTCGGGAGTATAAACGGAGACTACGACACGCATCGACCCAACGAGGGCAAAGCAAACCGGACGCAAGAGCGGCAAAATGTGATGCCAGCAGTACTACTACGACATCTGGACTAGCCGCACTAGATTGGACAACCATTCGCCGCGTTATTGGGATGGGGCCACGGGGGAATAACTCATGCTTCGCCTCAAATTGAATGTTTTCTCACTCTATGATGTGACGAACCAAAAAACTGGATGCCAACACGAGGATTGCGTCTACAAGGTTGACGTGGATCTATTCTACGTTTTTCGGCGATGCCCAGCGGCGCAAGAATTGCGAAAGATAATGACGAATTCATGGCTCCAAGGGGGCATAAACCCCGAAGACATTGACTTTGCCATGTTCGGCTTAAAACTACCCCAAGTTCCTGATGTAGTATGGAGAATGGCAGATGATATTTATGGCGATGATCACAAGCTTAAGTGTTTTCATTGAGGAGGCGTCGAAGCTCGCTGAGACCTGTGGGAGGATTGGGGCTGCAGCATACTTCCACGCTGTCTGGAGATGGAGGATGAGTCACTTTGATGACCTCAACAATTTTTCAAAGCGATATCGTGTATCCTCTATCAAGTCGGCGTTGAAGAATGGATATTCAACGGTCTATACCCACATCTTACCTCTCTAGTGGAGTGTGTTGTCTGTCAGTCCGTCCGCGGCTAGGGTTAATAAAACTCACGCTAATACGCGCGTTCTACTGGCTGCCGAGCGCAGCGAAGGCGGCCTCGATTCGCTAAAAAGCTGCCGAGCGCAGCGAAGGCGGCCCCCAATGGTCATTTTGCTCTCATTTTCAGCTGCGGTTCGCAAGGCCACGCGAAGGGCGCTGCGTGTGTGCGGGTTAATTTGCATTGGTAGGCTTCGCCGACGTGCACACCGGTACTATTATATCGTCGTAGGCGCTGTTGATTTTTTTTAGACCCTGGCGACACCACTGGATCGCATTTTAGCAAAGTAGTAATTCAACACTTCGAAATACTTAGTTTAATACCTTAAAAATAATATTACTAATTTAATAAAAACGTTTCTAATAAAACATTTCTCCAATGGAACGTTTACCTCCCATGTGCTCGACGTGCCAGGCGGTCATTGTGCACCCCCCGCTCGAGCCAGACGGTCTCGGGCTGCAGCTCCGGCTGTGCGCCTGTTGCGAACAATTCTTAGCATGGGATGCATTCGCACAGGGCCAGGCTCGAGCGGGTGCCCGCAGGTGCATCGCGTGCGCCTCTGGTCCATACGGCCAGGCGTTTTGGCACCGCCCACGCACACCAGAACCGAAGCCAGCCACTGATTCGCGCCAACAAAGCCTGGCCTTAGTTGCCGCCGCTATGGGGCCCCCACAACCGCCGCGGCGTGTTGTCCAGGAGCGCATTAATCGCCGCCGTCGTCGCTGGAAACCTCGCCAGCGCAACAAACATCCGCGTAATCACCAGAAAAACTGATTGGCTAAAAATAAACGTTTTCCGTTGGTCACAATTACTTTCGTGTTTAGGTGCGTTGTATGGGAGCTTAGGACAGGGCGTGAGCCTAGGTGAAGGTGCGAGCTTATCGAACTGGATTTGTAGGGCAGAAAGAAACAGTATGTACGATGGAGGGGAAACAAATATGAACACAGAGCTACAAAGCACGGAAGCGGGCCGATGCAATTAACATGTAAATCTATGAAAGCACTGAGAGTCACGGACTCTGTTAGACTTTCTACCTAAAACCGGGCTAGAACACGTAGCTGCTACAGAGCACGGAAATCACCTACGAAACAACACGGTAGACCACGAAGCACGGTAAAATACGAAGCACAAAAACCACAAGATAACTAGATAGTATGGTCTGGGCCACTATGCCATGGGAGAACGCAGCCGCGGAGCTATAGTCAGAAAATCTTCGAGCCGCGGAGATCGATACAAGTGTAGAACCTGAGCTTACCGAGCCACGGAGAACCGTAGTACATGGGAACACGATTTAACGGACGTCGGACCAGCCACAAAAAACACGAGGGGGGGGGGAGGAGGAGGGGGCACGTGTGGGGTGGCCATGATTGCACACCGTGGAGCACGATGCCATTGTAGAACACGATAACACGGGCAACGCAGATGCACTACGCGAGCACAATACCATAGACAGCATTACAACACCGTGATTGCACGATAGCGTGATTCCGCGGTCGATGACACTTCATCAGGAGATCACGATGCACGGGCGACGGAACCACGACTGCATGGAGGCACCAAAGCACGGAATAGCACCCTTTGGTTAGAGCACCGGCGATGGAAGGCCAATGGTAACGAAATATTATCTACCACGAAGCCAGTGCAACCCACGTAAACGTTTGAGAACGGAAAACAGTTAGCTTTAACGAAAAGACCGTACTAAAGAGCATGAACCCACAAGAGAGAGGACAGAACCGCTGAGCAGCGTGGGCCATGGGTGAGCAGGAACCTCGAAGCCGGGAAGAGCACGAAAGAGCATGGATCATTGAAGAAAACAACACCCAACCTGTAGTACGGGGTAACGGAAACGTTCCAAACCACGATATTATACGGGGCCGAATGAGACTACGGAAGGCAAGTGGTTAAATACACGATGCCAAGATCTACGGGGTGAACCACGCTCTCAAAACACGCGACACCAAGAAGCACTAAGGTTGCGGCCACCTCATCTCCAACAAACCATGCCACTCCGCCGCGTAGCGGCGGCGAACGGCTAGTCTTAAACATCTACTGCAGCAATTTGTCTGTCCGTCACACTAAATTGTCGTGCCTGTCACGCTTTTCCGGACAAATCATTGGATAAAATAATTTAAATATTCCTACTGGCTGCCGAGCGCAGCGAAGGTGGCCGCGATTGGCCTAAAAGCTGCCAAGCGCAGCGAGGCGGCCCAAATCGGCACCTTCTGCAACCCTGCGGGCCTATGGGCCCGCCTGAGCCACAATCTGCCAGCCTACCATGCGAGTAGTGAAGCGAGCCGTAGCGAGCGGAACGGAGGCAAAACACAAGGAACGACATTCATTCTTTCCCGCCGCGTAGCGGCGGCACTCGGCTAGTGACACAACAACTGCATCACCCAGTATGGCCTAATAGCGAAAGACGTGCTACGGAGACTGTTAATTCACGAAATTGACATCGATCACCCACTAACGTCACACGGAGAGCCAGGAATGTATTTGCTCTACTTCAACGGAGGATCACGGGGTAATCCAGATCCCAGACGTACTGGTGCCATTGTACTACGTGCGGCTACATCGGCGGTAGGAGCACAAGTGTGCTGGATCAGCTCTATGTCTTACCCATGCAGGTCGGACACCAACAACATGGCGGAGAACCTAGGACTGCTCCACGAACTCACAGCCTGCGATAAACATCATTTTAAGTCATTGGCGATATGCGATGATCATAGGACAACATCAGCAGAGAACGCCACCGAAAGCTAAGCACCTCCAAGACTACTACTGGAGGAGTCGTAGACTAGCAAGTAAACTCCAGGTGGTTGCTTGGTATCACCACCTCCGGAGCTTTTACAAAATGGCGCACTGCCCAGCCAATATGGCAATGGACACGAATCACAGCACGCAGGAGAGCAAACGGCGCACAGCCAACGATGGTCATTAGTGATGGATCACCTAACCGGAGACCACGTAAACTGGAGAGATACTATGCGAAACAAGATGTCTGAAGGCATCCTAACGTCCTAAACAGGTGGGGGGAGAGCGAGAGAGAAAGCGAAGGAAGTATAGTAGAGTCGTTGTTCAACCGGCTGGACGCCACAGCGAGAGAGTAGCTGCGAGCACGCGGTATATAGATTACAGTTAGTAAGACATTTTCCAGCCATTGACTGGCAAGTCTTCACTCAAGGAATTAAACGGGAAGGTTTGATGTTTCAGAGTTTCTGAACAAGAAGCTAGGTGGACCGACTGAGTCCGTAGTATTAGCGCTCAAAACGCACTTGGGTGCGGTCGTAGCACTCACATAAGTGATGGAGAGCGTGTCGTCACCGTAAAATTATTACGTTGTAGCTGGCTACATTATTTCGCAGCACAACCAATCGTGATGAAAAATGTCGTCGCAGCTATTGTCGTTACTTAAGAACTCCTTCACTGACTTTAGAAAATAAAGAAAATAATTAGAAGTCCTTCTTACCCCCAATGATTTGTTAAATAATCCAAGTGCTAAGTATAACATATTTTCACGAAACAGCTTCCTAAAGCTAGATCAAGATTGCAGTCCTGTCGATCAGCATTGAATGTAAATCTCCCTCTCTGAGCGTGGATTATCAGATTGACTAATTCTGGTCGTTGGCTCTTAATGGCCTTGTCAGACGCACGGTCCAAGTCCCATTGAATGTTGCGCATTCCAAGGAGATATGTCGCCACAGCATCGTGGTGACCTGCAATTGCTCGTGTCAAAGTGTCAGCCTCACCACTGGCAGCATACAACTTGATGTATCCGCACTCCATTGCATAGTTCACCGCAAATTGAACCACGTCGAAACGTCCATACGCGGCTGCTTCATTGAGGACTTTCCACGTGGTGTCGTGCATATCACGACGTGCTTCTCCATCGTCGCTTGCACCGACAATCTGCGGGAGGAACAAAGACACCATAGTAAGTTGCCCATGCTGCGCTGCTGTTTGCACTGCATTCTGTAGCGCTCGACGGGTTTTGACATGCGCTCCTCCACATCATCGTCCTCACTGTCTTCGTCGCTATCATCGGAGAAGTCGTCGCTCTCACTAGAAAAATCGCCATCGTCACTATCATTGTCTTCTCCAATCGGCTGTAAAAGCTGCTGCATCATGTCGAGGAGGTCGTCAGAAAATATATCAAATACACTATCGTCGTCACTGTCCTCGGAGGAGCTGATTCTACCATTGTCAGTCTCACTAGAGTCGTCGCTGTCATAAGAAGATTCGTAGCTACCGGAGAATTCGTCGCTGTCATCAGAGAATCCATCGCTGTCGTCTCCGTCGTTCGCAGCACGTTCGCCAATTTCGCGTACTACACGGTGCATCATGTCCACGTGTCCATTGGCCGACGCACTCGAAATTGCGTCGGTCAAGTCCACATCAAACGTATCTAACAGACTGTCGATCCATAGTAGTTAGTTGTTGCCGCAGCCTTAATCACAGCCTCCTCCGGTGTCATCAACATCTCTGAGCTAAGGCGGATATTTTGTATGGAAACAGCGTCTGCAATTCTGAGCCACGTTGACCCCGCCGCTTACGTGTGGAAGCGACACGACATAGTGACGCTCCGCCTTGAGCCTCTTGTACTCCGCGCTACTGGCAGCTAGGGATGGCTGTCCTGTTCACGTCTGCTTCATGGTGCTTTTGAGAATTACCTTCAAGTATAATACTTATCATCTGGTTGGGTTGTGGGTGTTAAATTTAAATGCCGTTAGCAAAACAGCCCGTGGAGCTTGCGACTGTCAGGAACCACCGAAGATTAGAGGTTTCCAACCCTGTAGTCACACCGTGTACACTGCCGCATGTGAAGATAAGTGTAGACAAGCCAGGGGCGAACCTAAGACAACATGAACCAGCGACTTCACGAAAACACCACCGCACCCAAATGACCTCTTCCAACGTGGTTATAAATGAATACGGTAGCACTTTCGCGCAAAATGAAGTATTTAAGTATTCAGTCGCGACTAGTTCAGCTGAAACAAGTATGTTTTGGAATGAGTAGTATTGATGTCACTTAGCCTGGACTAACGACTTTCTACCCGTGGAACGTCACCGCTCTAATGTCAATGGACGTTGTAAATGCTTGCGGTCAGTCCAGTGACTGACCCTCTCCCTCCGTCTCCCCTAGATGGGGGTCGCGATGCCTCCGCCACGCGGCTGAGTGTGTGACGTCTCCTGCCAATGCATTACGTCTCCAGATAGATGCTGAAGTACTTTCTCCCATCGTACTGTTGCCGAAGTGTCCTCCGACAGCAAAACTTGTGTGCTTCTTGTAGAATTCATTGCCATATTGGCCAGTGTGTTGGCCATCCTGTTAAACTCCCGCAGGTGGTGGTGCCATGCCACCACTTCAAGTCTATCTGCGAGTCTCCTGCTCTGCCAGTAGTACCCCTGAAGGTGTTTGGCTTTAGGGTTTTTTCGTTGTTTCAGTTGTCTTATGATCATCGCGCTATCTCCGATGACATGAAGCGGTTCAAAGTGGTGCTTATCACAGGCCTTGAGACCGCAAAGTAGACCGAGATGTTCTCCGATGTTGTTGGTAAACCGAGGGTTGGCGTACGACATTGTGCCGATCCAGCATACCTGGGCTTGGATGGTGGCATCTGCTGTACGAATAACGACTGCTCCGCTTCCTCCGGGCCCCGGGTTGCCCCGGGACCCCCCGTCGAAGAATAGAAGATACTTCGTCGGTTCGCTGCCAGTGAACAGGTGATAGTCTACCATCGGCTCCGACATCCAACACGCGCGCATTAGATGGATCGCAAGGGGACCAAACTTGGGGTGAAGCTGTGCCGCTGTGTGTGCAAACACCGTGTTATATCCCTGCCGCAGCGCCGATTTGAAAGCTGCGATTTGACATTGCTCTGACACCTTTGTCAGAGGGGTCGAAGTGGTGACACGCCATCGCCATGTCCGTTGTAGCAGTATTGCTGTTCCTAGTTTCCAACATCTCTCGGCCAGCATCGTGACCGCTTCCATAAAGTGGTTGGACTGCGTGGTTCGCTGGTCATAAATGTTGTCTGCTGCTCTCCATGCCCCTGCTGGCGTCTGTGGCAGTTCCATGCTGAAGATCGCGTGTTCGATTGCCGAGGTCTTGATTCCTAGAGTGAGCCAGGTCCGCGTCAGAAAGTGTTCTCAGTGTCCTCGCTGCTGGACATTCCCAGAAAACCGTGATACAGGTCCGTGTCGGCCAGATGACCCGCAGGCACTATGAGGACACCCACCTTTTGATGTAGTACATCGTAGAGCGAGAGGGTGTACCATTTGAGTTTTAGCAGTAGTTGCTCTCCCCACGGCCCAAGCCTCACGACTCGACGAATTGTCTTCCATTCCAGGTCATCCAGTGCAGCTGCCGCAGTGCCGCTCACTGCGGTCCATTTTGTCCTGCGTAAAGCAGCCTTAGTAGTTCCCCGTTTGTGGGCGAAATGTCTGATGCGCTGTTTGAATTCCTGTCGCGTGCGTGTCCATCGCCGCCCGCCAGCCCACAGGCATGTGTAGCGGCTCCATTTTGGGTGTGGCCGTACATGGTGGATTATGGCAGACGTATTCATCTCCTTGGTAATGGGTCTGGTTAGCGCTGATTGACTGTCCACTTCCAGAAGGGCCCTGTGTATCCATTTGCAACAATGCCTCAGCCCGCTCGTCGCCCCGCAGCATTACTGTGAGCGGGTGATCTGCGGGGGAGGCCGAGAATCTCACTTCATGGTTGTGTGCTGGGGCTAAAGCCATTGCTGGGAAGTTGGTAACCAGTATCTGTGCGAGACGTTCAGCTGGTCGTCGCTTAGTCGGACCCGTGAGCGAATTGGAGAAGTCGAATATCATGACCCCCTTTGATCTCTTCTTCCAGTGCACAACGTCGTGTAAACGGGTAATGTTCCTTCCAGATAGTGAGGCAGCCATTGCAAGTGTTGACCAGGATCCGTCTTGTGCATATAGTTTTTCCGTAGTTGGATCTACGTAAGGCAGCCATTCCAAATTTGGCTGCGGCGACTTCCTACATGCTGCACTTGCCCGTGTCCCCGTAGTATCCTTTAGGAAATTCGAGCAGTCCATCTGCATTGAGTTGCTCTCCCACGAGCATGTAAAGCTGTTGGCGTGAGTTGCTGTCACCACCTTTTTTGTGATCGTTCTCATAGTTGTCAAGAGTTTGGCTGCCCCAGCAACGCTGATGAGAGCCTTTCCAGTAGCCCACAGCGTAGAGAGTAATTTAGTCTGACCTGAGTGTACCCTGGAGTTATGTACATCTTCGAAGCTCGTCCCTCCCTGTGGTTGTGGAAGAGTACGTTGCCCCGGATATGGGCCTGTCTAGTGCCGTTGCTTGCCCACTGACTAACTGTGGTAGCTGCTAGCGCCAGAAGTTCTGTTCTGAGGTCTGGAAGGGCAAAGCCTCCAAAGTGTCTCGGCAGAGCTGCCAAGTCGGCGTGCAACCACGCTCGCGCAGCTGGTTTCTCTGCCGTGAATTGCCCATGCCATACGTAGTTTTTTATTCTGCACGCCATCTCGTTCACAATGGCTGGAGTGGGCCAGGCATGCCGTGCAACATACAGCATCTTCGGAATGATTACCGCGCTTGCAACTAGACTGCGGTGATCGATTGTCAAGAGCTTTTGACATGCGAGTCTGAGTCGGGTCGTCAGTTGTTGCACTGCTTTTGTCCATGAACGATGAGAGTCAATTTTGCTGCCAACTTGAAGTCCTAAGTATCTGCAACTCGCGTCCACAGGATGGTACTGAAGCGGAGGCGGTAGGGTCATGCTCGGCGTCGCGCCATGTGGGTGGAGGGCTATCGCGACCGTCTTCTCTGTGTTGATCCGTAGGCCCGATGCGTGTCCAAAGAGCTTCACCACTCGGATCAGCCCAGGTATCTCTGCAGGATTTCCGACAAACGCTGCTGTATCATCAGCGTAACCGGCTATTCTAAGTTCGAATCGGCCTGCCTCTGAGTGCACAATCACTCCACGTGGGCCCATGAATCCGTCAATCTTACGATATAGTGGATCCAGCGCTAGGATAAATAACATCGGTGCCAGCGGACAGCCTTGGCGGATCCCACTGGTGACGAGTATATCTCGAGACTTGGTTCCGTTAACTAAAACCCGTACTCGGGTCCCGTGATGTGTGTTTGCAATCGCCTTGACGAATTTCTCCGGATAACCTTTCCGTCGTAGGATGGAGAGCATGAATGCTCTATCCAAGGAGTCATATGCCTTTTTGAAGTCGAGTAGGAGAGCTGTCACTTCTCTCTGTGTTGAATCAGTCAGTACCATGTGCTGTGCTGCGTCGTATAGGTCAATTGTGTCATGTATAGTGCGGCCCGAGACGAAGCCATTTTGGTTGGGATGAATGTGATCTGGTAATGTGATCCCGACTCGAGCTGCTAGGATCTTCATGGAGAGTTTATAGTCTGTGTTTAACAGTGCAATGGGGCGAAAGTTGAGTGCATTGCTTGACGACCCACCCTTCTTAAGGCAGAAAATGTCCGCATCCAGGAAAGTAGATGAAAAACCCCACTGTCATACCATAGGTTGAAGAGCTCGGTAAGGATAGGGGCAAGCTTCTCTTCAAAGTCACGGTACCAACCATTCCCCAGTCGGTCAGGTCCTGCGGCCTTGCCTCGTTCGCATTTTCGCAGTGCGGCTCGTACTTCTTCCTCCGTAATTGTCGCAGCCACTGTTAGTTGAGCCTCAGTGGGTGCTTGAGCCTGTGGTATCCATTGTTCGACTGCGCAGATGTGGTGCAGTATACTGGGAGCTTGCTGCAAGATTGGAGTCCACGCATCCGCCATGGTATCCGCTTTGTCATGAACTTCTCGGTCAGGGGCTCCTGGCACCGGATCTAATCTGTGTATGATGTTGTCGGTGTATTTGTTGGAGATCTTTTTGAAGAAGGATTTGGTTGTTTTCCTTGTCCAGTGTGTAGCATCCTGAAAAAGTTTCCGCTGCCCAAATTCGTTCCGTGCTTGTTTACACTCCGCGATTGCCCGTCTAAGCCGTGCCTCTCTGGTTGGCTCAACTGAGTTGTCCAACGTCAGCCCGTCTAATAGATCAGTGATAGTGTCTACCGAAGGGCACATACCCTCATTCTCCTCTTGACCTCTCCGTTGTTGTTTGACTAGCCTCATCAGTTTTTGTTTAAGCGTGCGCTTTTTGGCGCGGTTGCGCTCTCTTATGGCAATCCGAGTTCTGCGCGCCACCTCCGTCTTCAGCGCCTCCCACATCCTTACCGCCTTCTCCGCCGAGCACTGCTCCGCCTGCATTTGTTCGGAGAAACAGTCCAAAAGCTGCGTGGTGACGGCGTTTACGGCTGCTGTCGCGTACTTTGGCGCTGGGTGTACCCTCGATGGCCTTCGTATCCGGATGGGGTCGTCAGGAGACCTGACGTGAATGTTTGATCCAAGATGATCCGTCTTCGCGCCAAGTTGTACTGTGTTCCACGCCGCCACCCACGCCAACGTAGTGGGGGACGTGTACCACCTGTCTAACCGTGACGAGGCTTCTCCTCGCCCCGGGACCATGTAATGATATGTGTGGGTCTCAAAGTGATGTCGTTGAAGAGTACTTGGCGTCCATTCTGCTGGTCGTGCCACTGCGATCGGGTCCACTAGTGTCCACATCTCTAGGAGGAACCTCAGGGCATGTGAGTCGTGTACTTGAGCACCAGTCTGGTAACTGCGGTCTGCCTGAACATCAAGTGTGCAGTTGAAATCGCCACCGACAAACAAGAGCGCTCCCTTGGGGAAGCTGATTGCCTGTAGGCTCGTGTAAAATCGTTCTCTCTGTGCAGGTGCGTGAGGAGCATATATATTGCATACGTAAGCAGGAGTGCAATCTAGTGTGCCATGCACAGCCATAAAGTGTTGAGTCCATTTTTCCTGTACGTAAGGTGTCATCGCCTTAAAAGCTCCGTACGGGTTAGCGAGGATGGCCACCCCACCCCTTCGGTCTGTAGTAGGGCTCCAGTAAGAATAGTCCGGTTGATCATGTCCCGTTCGGAAACCCCAGCGACTGGCAAAGAGTCTTGTGTATTCTCCCACCTCAGCTGCTGCCACATGGGTCTCCTGTAGTATGAGGATGTCGGTGTTTCCATGTTCATCTGCGTTCCCAAAAGCCTTGAACCAGTTCGCACGTTCCACTTCGTTTGCCCCCAATCCATTTACATTTTGTGTTGTCAGCCCAAATGTCTGTTCCAGCTGGTGTAGTTTAGACTCAACTATTCGCTCACTTCTGACGGCCTCTTTACGGGCCTTCAGTTGCCTTTGTGTTCGTTGTTTCTTGTCTTCTGCAAATTGTTGTTCCGGCGCGGCAAATCTGTCTGTTGCGAGCACCGGTATCATATTGCGTAGATCTCCCTGTTTTGGTCCTCCTGTCACGGGTCTAATGTTGATGTCAGTTATCATATCGTGCTGCGAGCTTTCCAAGTTCGTTGAAGATCGAGTGCGCTCCTCTCTCGATTCTTGGATCTTGGATGGCCTCGCATTTGGCAGATTTGGTTCTAGTTCGAACCGTGTCCTCGACTCAGTCTGGTCCCCCTGAGTCGAGAAATCCGGCACTGAAGTGCCGTTAATTGCGATAGGTGGGGTGAGAGTCGTCAAGAGAACGATCTCGACGCTCCTCCCACGTGTGTCCTGTTGGAGCCAAGGAGGCTACGCTCCAGTCCTGGAATTCTACAACTCCATGACATAGTTGGCGGACGAATGGAAATTCTTCGTACCATGTTGACCGGGCACCGAGGGGAGCCCGACCATTGGTGTATCTGCCCAGTCGCACACCACGTGTGACAGGATGTGTAGTATGTGCCATGCTTCGGTACTGATGTGTGTTGGTTGCGCCCTGCAATATCTGCTGGGGATACGTTATGCAAGTTGTCCCCATTTGTCAGGATCATTCGCTGCTTGTCTCCTTTGGGACTGTTTGGTGGCCTGGTTTGTGCACTCTGCATGCCATTTGGTGCAGAACTCTCGAGTCGAATCATCAATACTTATATCGTTTGCCAATCTATTGAGAGCTGCAACTTGTTCAACGTACGTTTCCATAACTCCCCACTGCAGAAGGTGGTCTTGTGACCACCTGGTTTTCGCTTCGTACTCAAGAAAGGATATGAAGGCGAAGAAATGCCGGAGCGCTTCAAGGTGAGCGAGAAGCCATTCTTGAATGTCGGCGGAGGTGACCTTCCTTCGTTTCATCTTTGGCAAGGACAGTTCCTCCTTGAAAAGATCACGCCATTTGATGAATGCTTCTTGGTTGGACAAGGCGATTAAATCTTCTAGAGGACCATCCACCTCCTCCTTCGCTACCGAATTTGATTGTCGGAGAATACGAAAGTAGGTGTTGGCAATGATGTCCCCGGAGGCAGCCTTGGCGTATCGCTGTGGAAGACTGCTACCCTGATGGCCCCCGCTTTGGTCCTCTTGGGACGAAGCTGCATATGTGTCCATGCCGTAGGCTTCGTGAATGTGTTGTTCTTCTATATGTAGAACATCCTTCAAGTCAGAAGGTAACGGGTCGACATTAAGGATCGCCAGTCCCTGTCTTGCATGGACGAAATCTAGACGTGTCCGCATTTCCAATCGTTTAATGAGCAGCTTATTCACCTCGGTGACGTCGGCAAGATGGTTAATCGTGGTCAAGTCCACTGAGCGTTCCGTGTCCTTTAGGGAGTTGATGTCTTCCTTCCACCTATAGGAGTCAGGTAGATCCTTCGCGAAGGACTCGTCACCTTCTGTTCTCCACTTGAGGAAGAGCTCACCGTGACTGACACCGTATAAATGACTTTGATCGTGGCGAAGTACCAAGAAAAATGGCAGCACATGGAGCGACCAGCAGGCATAGAGATAATCCCTAGCAGTCCTGTCGGGAAGCGGCTCGACATGACCAGTCTCGTGATCGGTGTTATCGGCAAGTCGGTGGGTTTTGTAGGAATAACGTTGGACATGAGCGTCTAAAGAGGCATTCGTGTCAAACACTACTATCGGCTCCCGACTGGGACATAGCCCGGAGTTCATGCGGTCCCGCCCAGAAACTAGCGGGTACTTTGACCCCTGTCGACCGCGTCCGTGCTTGGTTGTAGTGCCCGTAAAGGGCTGCTGTCGCCGCCTCAGTGGACGTGTAAGCCGGATGATCCGGGTAGAGTTTAGCGTACTCCGCGATCGGGTCCACTAACCCCAGCGCAACATCTTTCCGAATATTGGACATCATTAAGGCATAGAAGGAATCCTTAAATGAGGTAGCCTCGCGCACTACTGCTTTGGTAGTCTTGAGCTTTGCTGCAGGATGGTTCACTGTAGAAGCGTACAGAGCCAGGAGGGCGCACTGCCCATTCGCCTCCACTTCAACCATTGTACCGTCAAAGCTGGCCAACCATTGACCGACTTGGATAGGAAGGTCTGAATCCCCAGCGTCCGTGCCAGTCCGAGTCGGGCCCATGGTCATTTTTTCCTGAGAATCCGGGGTTGCTGGGACCACCTCCTCAGTCAGGGATGCAGGTGCAGCGGCCTTAATTCGAGGTGGAGCAGGATACTCTGCAGTGGTAGCCCTTACTTCGAAGGTCTTTTATTTTGGATGTAAGTCGCCATGTTTGCCTGCATGCCTTTTATGGCGCCGGCTTGGAGCCCCACCTTACCAAGTTGTTGCTTCGCTTTTCTTGCCACTCGGACCACAGCAGTCGCTGATTGGGCTTCCAGTGCCTTCGAGGGCTTGATGTCCTCCTCAGTGCCTGCGTTTTCTTCTGCTGGTGTCGTGCGGTGTTCAGCTGTTCCGTCCTCATCGTCCGTCACCTGAGTCATGGCAACATCGTCGACACTCCCAGTCCGCTGTACAATAGTCTGTGCTTGCTCCCCTTCCTCGAAGCCGTGCACCCTATCGTCTTTTGTTTCTTCGTCCTCCTTCTGTGGGTACGCATATGGAGCCTCCTCCTGCTCAGGTGTAAGTGGACACGATTGGTCCAGGCCAGCCTCGTCAACTTGCATGGCATTCACACCCTCGTCCGCCTCACTGTCCGAGTCTGCGAGTACACTGAACATACCCATAGCTTCATGTTGTTGAAATTGTTCGAAACGATTATCGGTGTTTTGTGGGGCCATTCTTGCTTCACCGGTCCGCCGTGTTACGTTACCCTCGTGCCCGATTTCATGGGTAGCATTCATTGGTGTTGCCCCGTCGGGTGAACTGTCCTGCATCACTTTCGTAACTTTCCGTGTTTTCTTTTGTTTTAGTATGAAGGCTCCCTCGTCCTCTCCGGGTACAGGCTCCGATGCATGAGTCGATTCCACTCTAGGTGTAGCAGGGGGTGCCCGGTCCCCTGTTACTCCTAAACGCTGAGCGATTGCTTGGTGATCGGTCTCAATATGCTGGAGAGGGGTTGATGGCGTTTTTGGTGGTTGATGTGATGTCAGCATCATGACGAGATCATCAATAGTTTTAACCGCAAACTCAATCTTGGTGGCCGCCGGTACTTGGACAACTGGCTCAGTAAATTTCCTGGTAGTTTTGCTTTGGACAGCTTCGACATTTTACGGTTTGGTGCGGCACCTACTTGCCCCATGCCACGGATTGAGGCACTTCGTGCATGGACGCCGTAAGTGCTGCTGGAAGTGGTGAATTGTCAATTCTACCGTGTCTAACAAGATCCTGGATATTCCTTTCAGCTCTGTTGGGCAGTGGCGCTGTGCAAACCGGATTGTAACATACCTGTTGTCATATATCTCGGTGCGTGTCTTTCGGGCATATTCCGCATCCAGTATTTGTGCGCCTGAGAAGCTGGTGAAGACCCGTGAAAGAGTGGCTAAACCCAATGAGATACCTCCATACACCCGGACAGCGTACTTCAATTCCAATTGAGCATTGGTGTATACTCCTACTCCTTTCTCTTCTGGGAGGCGTTCCGTGTCTCTTAGTGTGCTTTCAATCGTAACGTCTTGTTCTGCCAACGCGCTGACGCTCGTTTTAAATAAAAAACTGCGTGAAGCGTTTGATTGCCGTCAAAACTGAGGCGTTTGACATCCTGTTGAAATACTCTCATCATTGCGTGTCCGGTATGGTCGTCTGTGTTAGCGTTGAAAATTTCTTTGAGAATGGTCACATGTGGGGTGTGCACGGACAATCTCACGGATGCCGGTACAATAGCAGTGAGGGTTACATTAAAGTAAGTCTCGTGCATGTCTTCGACCATGGCCCGATGTTCACTAGCCAGGATCTCCTTGATGAAATTCGGTGGGTGCTGCAAGTCCAAATCGCCACTCAAATATTTAATGAAAATAGCATGCTCCCTTTGCGTCCAAGCCCTGATGGCGTCGTCTCTACGGGCAGTCGCAGGGGATTCTGCTTCCGCGCGCATCTTCTCCTCGTCTTCTGTCCAAGTGTGCTTGGCACACTTGGTCCAGTCAGTCATGATAGTGGTCATCAGTTGTTTGATTTGGACAGGGTTCCAGACCCCGCGTAGCATGTGTGATTTGCGGGCCGCGTCTTCAGTGATCCTCGCCTCAGAAGGTGGGTTTGCCTTTACTTTGTCGCTCCACAAGACAACCTTCGGTGGTGGATCCACCGCCTCTGTAGCTGGTCCAGGTAGGGGTGAGGAGCTATGTAGCTGGTCCAGGTAGGGGTGAGGAGCTATGTAGCTGGTCCAGGTAGGGGTGAGGAGCTATATTCTGAATCCGTTTCAAGTTTTTCCCCCAAAGGTCGCCCCGTCAGCTGTCCGATTGGTTCCTCCTCGTTTGCATGTTGGGCATCCTTTAAGCTCGGATCCGTCGTCGTCTAGCCATGTTGGTCTGTCTTCTGCCTCTGAGGATCCGGGGATAGCTGACCTGTGTCCGGAGGGCCGGGGCCTTGCGCCCCTGTACCTGGTCTCGCCATTCCGGTTGCGATTCCTTAGTTCCTTCGCCTTCTTCTTCCTGTTGGCCTGGGGTTGCTAGCGCTAAGCCGCCCACTCCTGAGCGACTCTTCCTTCCCAAGGTATTTTTACGAGTAAGCTGAAACAAGTACAAAACCCTCAAGAAGGCTACGATGCATGCTGCTAGGACCGTCGAGATATCGTTAGTCTCTCCTTAAAGTGAATGGAAATACAGCGTGGGAAGTACTGGACGAAGCTCCTTCTATCGGTTAGCTGGGGCGTAGTAAGGTATGTTATCCGAATCGAAAAAGCTGAATAGCGAAGTAGTAATAGTACACTCGCGATAGCTGGCAATCATGTCGACATACTGGCTCATAAAAGCGGTCGAAAGGGAACAACACAGAGTTGCTCAACAGGTTTAGCTCGTGTATTCGTTATATTTCGATCGGAAGAACCTATGTGTCGAAATGGATTCACTTTTGCGATCAAGTACATGTACTACTACATGTAGTATGAGCGAGGCTACTGTAACGAGGAGTTGATACAAACCGCCTGTGTTAATGCGACTGTTGATCGACGTAATGAGCTTTATGGGCTTCTACTGGCTACGGCCAAGTGCCAAAGGAAGGGATTAAAAGAGTATTACAACCTCAGCATCGATCACTGCATGTACTTCTCTCCACAACAAGCAGCTTGCTTTCCCTAAAGAGATACGTCGAGCGCTCGAGATGTATGGGAGTCTGGTGGCGACTGAGCCTCTAAGAAGATACCAGCGGCGTCGATCGCTGCTGCGCTGAAAGATGTTACTGGGATGGGGAATATGGTCCAAATGCCAAGGAAGAAACGAGAAGCTATTGCTCTTTTTCAAAGAGAGTTGTGTTCCGGGTGAGGCTACCTTTGCGATGACCATGTACGATATGCTTTCCATGGGGATGACTGTACGGTCATTCATTGATATCGCTGGATGTGGAGTGTCAGCAACGTAACAAGTTGCCGGTTGTGGTCACGTTTACATCGTCAAGCGACGGAGGATACTGTAGCGTATCAAGAAAGAAGCTTTACTAAGTGCTACTCGAAATTAACGCGGACTGATTACGACAGGCACGCTTAGGGTAAAACACTCAAGACATATTTGAGTGAACAGTGAAAACTTGATCATGACCCGATAGAAACGTTTTCTAAAGGCTCTAGTCCAGCAGTGGTCATTTAGCATGTACATGTAGTTTTACGTGTGGCGCCTGAATTATGCTCGAAACTACGCTGGAAACATCGTGGCAAGAAATTTACTCGAAGTAAGTCGCAAAAGAAAAAAAACCCGCGCGCTGTTTAGGATAGAACTAAAAGCATTTCAGCAGGGCGCGGATATTCTTTGGCCCCTGACTATATCCATTTTAATCGCTTTCGTGAGCCTTTTGTTTTTTTGTATTGAAATCACCAATCCAATATGATTCGTTGTTATTGTGTATTAGAATTGATTGATTGATTGGGTCTTGTTTACAGTTATTGACGAGATACAGCACTTTTCATTTTCCCGTCGCCATGAAGCGTCCGTCAGCAGACACACGATCTAATAAATCGGAGAGAAAGAAGCTCAGACTGGGAGCGTGTCGGACTCGGTACAAGACATTCCGGGACACAAATTTCTCATCAAACCTCCGCTCTTTACCGCATGTGTTGAATGAAATCGAGAACTTTCTACTGCCACCAGAGGAGGCCATGGTGGAAGCCGCTTCGACTAACCAACTCGATTGGCTAAAATCTTTAGTCGATCGATATGATTCCCACGTATTGGACGCAGTATTACTCGCTGCTAGACTCGAGGATATCGGGAGCTTGGAGCTATTGACGCCACACATGTTTGACTCGAACGAGCTGAAGGGCGGGGCGTGGGACGTATGCAGAATAGCAATTCATACTGCCGCAAAAAGCAGAAGTTGCGATGTTGTGCGTTTCTTATTATCTCTGGTGGACAGTGCTGATGAATGTCGTCAAATGGCACGGACTGTCGTTGGGATTGCTGCAGCGAGAGGTTACTTGGATATTCTTTCAATCGCAGCTGACACTGCCGACACAGCGGATGTTGAGCTGTCGATAAACAGCATCGGTTTTGCACTGTCCCTCGCCATTTGTGGTAAACAGTCCGAGGCAGCGATTTTTCTCGTGTCTCGATATTATCGTATATTGGATCTTAGTAAAGGACTGGAGAAAGCCTTGATTTACGGGATGGGGCAAGTTGCGGACTGTATTTATGGCGTTATCACGAAGCAAGACAACGAGACTCCATTTGAGGATTTCCTCGTGAATCTTGCAGGCGACGGGTAGGCTAATACGATTGAATTTCTATATCGCCGAGGGCATAAGGAGACCAAGCTGCTCGGTTACGCCTTGGATAATGCAGTATGTGCAGATCAAATGGAAGTGCTGAGAATGATACTCAACACAGGACGTGTAACACAGGACAGGATCGGTGAAACTTTCTTGATAGCTGCTCGGCATGGAAACTTCAGTCCAGTCGATTTTTGGTCCCGAACAGCAGAATCTCGGATCGACAAAAAAAAGCCTTCGAGAATGCGAGTAAGCTAGCTATCTCCAAGTATTTGCTCGATAAGCTGGACGACCCTGCTGGATCCGTAGAGACAGCGTTCAGAAATGCAGCTGAGAGTGGCCATTATACTCTCATGGGCACTAGCGAGCGTGTCGCCATCTTGAAATTCTTGCTTTCTACAAGACTTGTTCCACGTACTGTGGTTAATGACTCTTTTATTGTAGTCACTTGAGAAATATTTGGGCGCCGACTTTGTATTGGCGTTATCAAAGGTGGCAGACATATCTCCCGAGATCGCGCTAGAAGCGTTCCAGAAAGCTGTCTGTGTGGGAAGGGCCGAAGTCGTGAAGGTGTTATTGTCTACATACAGCTACCCGCTATCTGTCAAAGAAGAAGCTTTGGAAAGCGCCGCTCGGACTGGCCGACATGGAATCGTCGAAGAGATATGTGCGTCAGCAGATTGGTCTCTAAACGTGCTAGATAAAGCCATATCAGTGGCCACAAACACCAATGTGCTGGCTGTCTTGCGTGCTAAGAAGATAGCAAATTTCAACTAAAGGTTACAAAACGCGTTTGTGAGTAGGGTGGGCGGTACTTCTTGAGATTTTTGTGCTTGTACAGTAGTTTTTAGGTAGAATGACACAGAATCCCCGAAGTGAGACACAGGACAAAATGGGCTATTGTGAGCTCCGAACCAATTACAGCCGGCTCAAAATCATGGTTCAAACGCTTTACAACCTGAGCAAAATCTTATTTCGTACTTAGAAATGTATTTAGTGAAGTCAAGCTATTTGTCCTTTCCGTCGATTTCGCGAATAGAACGCATTAAATAATGCTTAAATTCACGCTCTTTTCTCAATTAAAGGTACATAATGTAGCTCACCAATGCAACACTTGAAAAGAAAAAGAGAAACTCAAGATCCAACCTAAGTTGGTAGTTATCTGAATACTGGATCTTGATGGTAAGAAAATGGAGAGGCTTTCGCTCTATTTTTTGCTGTGCTTGTTATGATATGGTCGTCATGGTGAAACTCCTGAACTGCCACTACTGTGTTTCGCGAGATGTAGCCTTCCACATAAGCATCGTCGGATATTTAATAATCAAGCAAAACGTGGAAGGAAGTGGAATAATTGAATAGTGCTAATAATTCTGAAGCAGTAACGCGGTTGATTGGGATATGCGAGCGAAGTCAACAACTACTGAAGATATACATGTACGAGCACTACATCTTTTTGAAACGTTTTATTACTCGAATTTGCGAGTTTATTAGAGAATCTTAAGCGGTAGGTGTCAAAGGCTGTTTTAACCTAAAATTAGTGCGCTGAAAGAGTGTCATTGCTCCCAGTGGGGGGGGGGGTCAGAAAATATAGCAGATCCCAAATGTCACTCGCACAAATCCTGTAGCCAATTAATGGGGGTAGGTCGCACTAAATCGCTCGCATTTTGCAGAAACTGTTTTGGAGTCTCTGCAAATGGCGACATCACATAATCAAATGACGACGTCCAGCCAAATGGACAGCAGATCGCGGGTCGCGCCGAAATAGTTGTAATTACATCAAAACAAAAGACATTGCAATGGTCCGAGGAAGGGGGTGGACCACGCCTGAGACACTGTACATGCTTGGGCTTGTAGAAAGCGTAATTTAGGAGGGCGGTCGCGCTGACCGGGACGCCACTTAGCCGTGTAGTTCTTGGAAAACTCGGTTAGAAGAACCTCGAGCGAAGCAGGATTTACTGCCATCGGCGACGTTCGAGCAGGTATCAAATTTGTGTGATATTCTTATAGAGATTTCAATTGCAAATATCCTCACAAATGCACTTGTTCGCCATCGCATTTCTGCACGCAAATGCCTATTATTTTGTGCTTTGCGTCATTTTCTGAAGGCCCCCAGTAGCAATATGTTTGGTTTTCCGCAAACGACATGATTCGTTCAAAATAAAATCCTTACATTTTGGTTTAGTAAAATGTGGGTTTTATTGGCAGCGGCAGCAATTGGGTTAAGGGTGCACCCTTAACCATATTTTTGCCTAATGACGTCAGAGCCTCTGACGTCATTCGTAAATTGCCTCCACTTGAGAGACGGTCTTCTCAAAACAAAAGATTGCACTCAAATCTTGAGATGCCATCTGGTAGTGAGCAAACTTCCTCAGCCTCCAAAAAAATGTACTTGTACCATTATTCCTTTCCAAAGGTAAAAGCTCATACCATTAAAAATGAATG